CTTCGCCCGCCGAGGCTGAGGCAGGAGAATCCTTGAACTGGGAGGCAGGAGGTTGCAGATGAGCTAAGATCCCACCACTGCACTCCAGCCTGTCGGTGACAGACAGGATCCTGTCCAAAAAAAAAAAAAATAAATTATGCAAACTTGCAATAAAATCCTGGAAAGATCCCAGCACATCTGTTTGATAGCATGATTTACGTTAATATTTTAGCTTCTTGGCCGCACGGGTGGCTCAAGCCCTGTAATCCCAGCCGACCTATTGGAGGAGGCCGAGCGCAAGACCAGCCTAGCCAACATGGCGAAACCCCATCTCTACTAAAAATACAAAAATTAGCTGGGTGTGGTGGTGCATGCCTGTAATCCCAGCTGCTTGGGAGACTGAGGAAGGAGAATCGCTTGAACCTGGGAGGTGGAGGTTGCAGTGAGCAGAGACCGTGCCACTGCACTCCAGCCTGCACGATGGGAGTGAGACTCCATCACAAAACAACAACAACAACAACAACGACAAAATTAGCTGGGCATGGTGGGGCATGCCTGTAGTCCAAGCTACTTGGGAGGCTGAGACACAAGGATTGCTTGAACCCGGGAGGCAGAGGTTGCAGAGAGCCAAGATCACACTACTGCACTCCAGCCTGGGTGACAGAGTGAGACTCTGTCTAGGAAAAAAACAAAAAACAAAAAACAGAACTTTTACATTTATAGTGTATTTATTTTAAATATATATGTATACATGCCCCTTTTCCCACTCATTTACATATTTTTATTTGGAAATGTTTATATCAGTACAAGGAAACAATTTGAGACACTGGATGTCATTAGTTATCATTAGTTTATTAATGAAAAGAAAAATGAATATTGTAACATGAAGAAAAAGGATTATCAGACTTCAGGAACGGCAGTTTCACGTTGATGCCATTTCACAGCGAGCTTATTTCAGTCTATGTCTTTCCAAAGAATGTCACCATCTCCCAAATAGGAAATAACTTCTTCGGTCCATCACAACTAGTTTGGTGCTCCATATTCCGGGAGAGAAGAATCCTTATCGTCCATTATTCACCGCTAGACGGTTGAATCTCTCCCACGCCATTTCCTTTAGAACTCCCGAATCCATAACAGCGACTACTCTTGCTTGGCCAATACTTTTCCCTTGAGATTTTTCTGGAAGCATAATGCCTGCTTTTGTTGGTTACGCCTTATCGCAGCACTCCTTTCAACCAGTACTGGGTCAAAGAGTGTAAGGAACTTTCTAAACGCATGGCCTGCCATGACTCCCTCCGCCTCAGATTGGTACGTGTTCTCTCGTGTATATCATATTCATCTTAAGCGACAAATTCTTGTTAGTTCTTAGACAGACAACTCTTTTTTTTGAGACTGGGTTTTGCTCTTCGTTGCCCAGGCTGGAGTGCAGTGGCCCGATCTCGGCTCAACTGCAAGCTCTACTTCCCGGTGTCAGGCCATTCTCCCTTGCCGCCTCCAGACCGTCGGCCACCGAGTAGGCACTGGGATACCAGCCGCCGCACCACCGGCTAATTTTTTGGGCATTTTTTAGTAAGGGCATCTAAGACAGGGTTTTAATCAGCCACCAGGCGGAGCCAGTGAGATCATGATTTTCCCTGATCGCACATCGATGATCGGCCTGCGATCTTCCCACACCCAAGACTCCTTTTCAAAAGCCCGTCCCCAAAGTGCTGAGGATAAGTTAAAAAGTGCGGGTTGAGCCCACCCACCAGCGCCCGCAGGACCAGAAGAAAAAATTCCTTATAGTAGATTGCTGATGTCAAAAGCGATGACTTTAGCGCAATTTGAATGCTTTAACTTCAGGGAATTACATAAGGGTAAACCATAGCCCAGAAAACCAACTGGCAGGACACCATATGCATCACCACCACACTATACATACGAAGCCCGTGATGCCTAATTCTCTTGACCACTTATGAATTTCTCTCGAGTCGTAGGGGAGATAAGTGTTTTATATATTTTGTGTTTTATTTTTTCTTTTAATTTTTGATGAATCAGTAGGTGCTGGCAGGAACGACAAAAAGGGAAGGAACCAGACGTGACTTTTCAGAAAACATAAGAAACCTAAAGGTAGAGATATAGTGAATAACACCCCCCCATTGGATTGTGCGCGTAGCTTCTATTGTGATTTTATTTATTCCTTATAAATTATACATTAGGATCCATATTATTTAATTTAGAGAGAGAAAAAACCAGCAAGTCACCAAAGCCCTGAAATTTGCTAGGGATTATTTATGTAATGTGAGAGAATCGCTGCGCCGCAGCCAACGAAACACTAGGCTGGAGTGCAGCACAGGCACGGCTGCGGCTAAACACTGCAGCTCTTACACTTCCCGGTTCTAAGCAATTCTCTCAACCAGCCTCAGGCCACCTCGAGATACGCTGGTTGGACTCATGCGACGTGCCACCATCCCAACGCCTGACCTAAGTTTTCTGATATTTTTTCAGCAATGATGGGGGTTTCACCATGTTGACCAGGTTGGTCTTAACCCTCCTGAACTCATAATCTGCCCGCCTCATCCCATCTCCAAAGTGCTGGAAATTAACAGGTGTCGAGCCACAGAGCCTGGCCATTTTTTTTTTTGACAGGGTCTCGCTCTATTGACCAGGCTGGAGTTCAGTGGCTGCAATCTCAGCTCGACTGCAATCTCTGCCTCCCAGGTTCAAGTAATTCTCATGCCTTAGCTTTCCGAGTAGCTGGGATTACAGGCACACACCACCATGCCCAGCTAATTTTTGTATTTTCAGTAGAGGTGGGGCTTCACCATATTGGCCAGGCTGGTCTCGAACTCTTGACCTCAGGTCGTGTGCCTGCCTCAACCTCCCAAAGTGCTGGGATTACACTGCACCTGACCATTTAAAAATTTCTATTTATTTGTTTTTGAAATAGAGTCTCAATCTGTGGTCCAGGCTGGAGTTCAGTGGTGTGATCATAGCTCACTGCAGCCTTGAACTCCAGGCTCAAGTGATCCTCCCACCTAAGCCTCTTGTGTAGCTGGAACCGTAGGTTATGCATCACCACACCCAGTTAATTTTTAAATTTTTTGTAGATATGGGGGCGGGTCTCACTATATTGTCCTGGCTTTGGCCTCCCAAGGCGTTGGGATTATAGAACTGCGAGCTACCATGCCTGGCCAGCTTTCGTGATTTTTAAAAAGCCTTATTTAAAATTTTCTGTTTTGTTTTGTATGGTGGGTACTCACTCCACAGCCACAGTGATCTGTTGAAATACTAGTCTGCCCATGTTCCTAGTTTCTCCTTAATACCAAAAATAATCCTAGATTCTCAGCAGGACTTTGGTGACTTGGCCTCTTTGTTCCTCTCTCCATTTGCTGCCTCACACTTATTTCAGTGCTTTCATAGTCCCAGGGAAGCAAGCTCTGTGTATGCATTTCCTCCAGTTGTTTTCTGGGCTTGGAATGCTAATCTCATTTTTCTTTGCCTGGTTAATAATTATTTCCTTTTGAAAAGTCTGAGGTCATCTGTCAGAAAATCTCCCTGGTCCTTCATCTGAGCCTGGGCCCCTGGCCCTCAGCTCTGGGCATGTCTCTACTTTACTTTTTGAAATCCTCTCCTTTCCATTTAATAGACCACATAACATAATTTTGTTGTTTTGTTTTTATTTTTTTTTTGTATTTTTGAGACAGTCTCGCTCTGTCACCCAGGCTAAAGTGCAGTGGTGCGATCTCAGCTCACTGAGAAAACCTCCATCTCCCAGGTTCAAGCGATTCTCCTGCTGAAGCCTCCTGAGTAGCTGGGATTACAGGCGAGAGCCATGGTGCCTGGCTAATCTTTTGTATTTTCAGTAGAGACAGGGTTTCGCCATGTTGGCCAGGCTGGTCTTGAACTCCTGACCTCAGGTGATCCACCCACCTCGGCCTCCCAAAGTGCTAGGATTACAGGCATGAGCCACCACGTCCGGTCTAATTTTGTTATTTTGATCGATCAGTGTCCTAGTCCTTAGGGTACTATTACTATTTCATCTTTGTAGCCTAGCATGGCACCCATGAAATGTGTATATGGCTGAAAGGTGACCTTTGGTCACCAATGACCCAACAATTTCGGCCACAGATGTTGGGCTCAGACTCCCTAAATTATCAAAATCATGTGCTTATAAGTGCCTCCAGAGCACAAATCCCTTTCACAGGGTTTGAAACGTATCAAGTCACCATTAATCATCTTAGGCCAAGGCTCCAAGTCTGGGCTACTCCAGAACCCCGAGGGGAGAAAGAGAATTTTTTTTTTTTTTTTGAGAAAAGGTCTCGCTCTGTCACCCAGGCTGAGCGAAGTGGTGTGATAAAGGCTCACTGCAGCCTCGACCCCCAAGGCTCAAGTGATCCTCCCAACTCAGTCTCCTGAGTATCTGGAACCGGAATTTTTTTTTTCTTTTCTCTTTCTTTTTTTTTTTTTGTAGCATGGGGGTTTCCCTATGTTACCCAGGCTGATCTCTAGTTCTTAGGCTCAAGCGATCCTCGCACCTCGGCCTCCCAAAGTGATGGCGTTCCAGGAGTGATGGCTTTTGAATACCTCCCAGTGATGGCTATTCATGGTGCCCGGCCTGGGAAATCTTATTTCCAGGAAATATTCTCCAGTTGCGCTCTGCTGGAAGGCAGCACAATGGGCCTCCCGGCTCCGTGGGAGCGCAGTCCCACACGCACGCACCGCACCCCACCCGCCTACTCTCCACCCAACTCGTTCCCACTCTGTCTGGGTTTTCGGGTGTTCACCATTGAGGTGGGAGCCACATCTGCGCCCCGTGGCCTGGCGAACCTCACTGAACACTTCTGCCCGACCCCCGCAGCAGTAGCGCGACCGGATGGCGTGGGTGTCACCACGCGGTGGACACTCTCTCTGCCGCGACGCGCCGGCGGCGGGACCTCGGAGGGGACGCCCTCGGGGTGCGAGGCCCGGCACTCCGGAAATCCCCCGGGAGGGAGGGGTTGGGAGAAATAAATCCTTTTCTTCAGAGTTGCGCAAGAGCCAGCGCGGTAGGGCCAGGGTGGGAAGGCCAGAGTGGGCGTCCCAGCCAGTGACCCCAGGCCGCCCGCCCGCGCCCAACCCAGCTCCAGCCGAGTGTCCGAACCAAAAGCGAAAGGAACCCGACCCCCGCGTCCTCTCTGGCGGCTCCGGCGTCGCGTCCGCTGGGAGGTCGCCGCGCGCCTCCGACCCTGCCGGGCAGCTTTGTGACTTCACTCGTTTCGCAACAAGCCCGGGCCGCCCGCGCCCCACCCACTCTGGCCCGGCAGCCTCGCCGCCCGCCACCTCGCTCCGCTTCTCGTGCTTCCCCTCCCTCCGGGGCTGGGCCTGTCCCGGCCGTCGCGGAGCCTCCCCTCCCACCGTCCGTGACCGTCCGCGCCCGGCCGCCGCCTCCAGGCAGCCCGGAGCAACCCGGCGCCTGGCCTGGCTGGGCGCAGCACTCTGTTGGCGGCGGCGGCGCGATGCTGTGCTTCCTGAGGGGAATGGCTTTCGTCCCCTTCCTCTTGGTGACCTGGTCGTCAGCCGCCTTCATCATCTCCTACGTGGTCGCCGTGCTCTCCGGGCACGTCAACCCCTTCCTCCCCTACATCAGGTGAGAGGCAGGGTGGGCGCCGGGGCCCCAGGAGCAGGCACAGGGACCAGAAGGAGCGCTGCTGATGGGGAGGGAAGGCGTCCGGACCCAGCTGGGGGCGTCGTGTGGTCAGGCTAAGGTGTGAGCAGGAGGAGAGGTGCTCCCAACAGCCTGGGATATTTAGGGAGGCAGTGGGTGGGGCGCTGAGCACTTTTGTCTGTACCTGGAGCGTGAAACAGGGTGGCAGCAAGGAGAGGTTCAGGATAGACGGTAGAGCTTTCAGTCTGGGTATGGGACAGAATCTCAGCAGGACGTTCTCAGGCGATATTTGGAACAAGATGGGTCCTGATAGATGACATGTATTGTACAAGAGGTAGATCCAGGTATATGCTAAACAGCCACTATTTTCACTTCTGCATCCCAACATCCCTTGAAGTGGATGTTTGGGCTCATTTTTCCTGCAAGGGAGCCGTGGTGTAAAATTGATGAAATATCATCAACGTGACACTGATGTCACACTAGTTAATGGTAGGAGCAGAATTCACACCCAGCCATGCAGAAAGCAACACTGTGCCGCCCCCAGGTCCTTGGAAGTCTGGCTTAAATTCTCTGGAGCTGCACCAGACACCTCTGGACACTGTGACCCCAAAGCCCTCAACTTGTCGACAACTTGTGACATCTTTTGTATTATTTTACCCATTCAGTTTTCCTATGCTTTGGCCTCTACCTTTCCTGAGGGGCACTTCAGTGCCAGGGACAATGATCTGATCCTCCTATGTGGGTTCCAGCTCAGTGCCTTTCTCATAGTGGCGGGATTCTTTAAACGTTAGAACCATCCATTCTTATCTAAGTAGTGTGACTCCTCTGGACATGCATTGGTTGGTGAACAGATGATAAGGTTGGTGACACCCAAGGTTTGTTACGCATGATAGAAATGTAGGGCGTCCTTCTTCCCTGCAGCCATTCTGTCTGGTGAAATGTCTGTGTTTTGGTTTTTTGGTTTTGTTTGTTTGTTTTGTTTGTTCGTTTTTTTGGGCCGGGGTGGGGATGTGAAAGGGGAAAACAAAGATCAGCAGGAGGGACTAGCATTTTTTAAATGAATGAAAGGATAATAAAAACCAAAGCGCAGATGGAACATCTTCTCCAATATAAATAACATCATCTCTTCATAGTATTCTCAAATTTGCCTTCTGTGTACATATCCTACCTATTGCTCTCTTCCTCTGCAATCTTTAAATGCCAGTTCCCCGGGCACGGTGCTCACACTTGTAAATCCCAAGCAACTTGGAGGGCCAAAGGCAGAAAGGATCACTGAGGGTCAAAATTTGAGACCAGCCGACCCAACATAGTGAAACCCTGTCTCGATACTAAAAATACAAAAAAATTAAGCCAGGTGTGGTGGTGCATGCCTGGTAACTCAGCTAGTCCAGGAGGCTGAGGCCAAGGAAGAATTGCCTTGGAACCGGGAGGCCAGAGGTGCATGAGGCACCGATCGCCCATACACTCCACCTAGTGACAGAAACGAGACTCCTTCCTCCAAAAAATAAAATTTTTTTGGCGCCGGGCGCGGTGGCTCAGCCTGTAATCCCACACTTTGGAGAGGCCGAACGGGCGGATCAACAGCAGGAAAGATCGAACCCATCCTGGTAACATGTGGAAACCCATCTCTACTGAAAAAATACAAAAAAAAAACTAGCCGGCCGAAGGTGGGCCCGGGTTGCCTTAGTCCCAGCCTTATCGGAGGCTGAGCAGGGAGATGGCGAAACCCCGGAGGCGTGGAACTTGCAGTGAGCTGAAGAATCCCGGCCACGCACACTCCAGCCTGGGGCAACAGAGCAAGACCTCCGTCTTCCAAAAAAAACAAAAAAAAACAAAAAAGAAAGTAAAGAGCCTGCTTGGCTGGCGAGGGTGGCTCACACCTGTAATCCAGCCTTTGGAGTGTTCCGAGTGGGCCAGATCACGAGGTAAGAGATCGAGACCATCCTGGCCAAACATGGTGAAACCCCATACTCTACCTAAAAATACCAAAATTAGCTGCATGGTCTCCAAGCCTACTCCGGTGAGCCTGGGCAGAAATTGATTGAACCGGAGGCAGAGGTTTGCAGTAAGACCATGATACGAGCCACTGCACCTCCAAGCCTGGTGACAGAGCCCGAGACTCCGTCTCAGAAAAAAAAAAAAAAAAAAAAAAAAAGTAAAGAACTACTCTACCTGCAGTGCTGCTTCTTTTGTTTGTTTGTTTATTTTTTCAAACAAAGTCTCACTCTGTTGCCCAATCTGTAGTGAGGTGGTGGGATCACAGCTCACTGCATCCTCCACCTCCTGGGCTCCATTGATCCTCCCACCTCAGCCTCCTGAATAGTTGGGGACTGTAGACAGGGATGCACAACCATGCCCAGCTAATTTTTAATTCTTTTTGTATTTGTAGAGATGACATCTTGCTGTGTCCTGCAATGCTTCCTTTTTTTTTTTAAGACAGAGTCTTGCTTTGTCGCCCAGGCTGGAGTGCAATGGTGCAATCTTGGCTCACTGCAACCTCCACCTCCTGGTTCAAGAAATTCTCCTGACTCAGCCTCCCAAGTAGCTGGGATTACAGGCACCTGCCACCACACCCAGGTAATTTTTTTGTATTTTTAGCAGAGACGGGGTTTCACCATGTTGGCCAGGCTGGTCTCGAACTCCTGACCTCAGATGATCCACCTGCCTCAGCCTCCTAAAGTGTTGGGATTACAGGGGTGAGCCACCGCGCCCAGCCTGCAGTGCTTCTTATTGAGAAAACAATAGCCATGTTTGTCCCAGATCTGAAGACTGAGGACAGATCATGTGTGATATTCATTGGTCAGGCTGTAAAGGCAGGTTTTGAATGTTCATGAAGGTGTCTGATGTAGTTGTGATTAATATCACTCCAAGGTGAACTTGAAATGGGAGACATTCAGAAATGGAAAAATAAGCTGACAAGGTGAACCACTTGTGAGATGCTCAAATCACAGACCCTACAAGGAAAGGGTTTACAATTTACCAAGGAAGCCTTCAGGAAAAGCAGAGTTACAGGAGAAAAAGGCATGGAATTGCCCCTTTGTTGCCAGGAGTTCTCAGCCAACACACAACAAACATATGTATTGATTGCCCATGTGTGCCTGGGGCTTTTAGGTTGTTTGCTCTCTGCTTACCTGAGCAGCCAGAGCACTGGATTGCCTCTGCCCACTCCTAGAAAACAAGTCCTTGGTGCAGCAACAAGATGTGGGTAAGAACCACACATAGAGAAGAAGGCCGGGCGCGGTCTCTACTAAAAATACAAAAAGTTAGCTGAGCGTGGTGGCACATGCCTGTGAGCCCAGCTACTCAGGAGGCTGAGGCATGAGAATCACTTGAAACTGGGAGCTAGAGGTTGCAGTGAACTGAGATTATGCCACTGCACTCCAGCCTGGTTGACTGAGTGAGACTCTTTCTCAAAAAAAAAAAGAAAAAGAAAAAGAAAAAAAGAACCAGACATAGAGAAGTGATGGAAGTAACTCTACATTTATCCACTGGCCCTGAAATATTCAACCTTATCTCTCTCTCTCTTTTTTTTTTTTTTGAGATGGGGTCTTGCTATGTTGCTCAGGCTGGTCTTGAACTCTAGGGCTCAAGCAATCACCTGACCTCAGCCTCCTGAGTACCTGGGATTAAAAGTGTGCACCCCCATCCCAGGCTGACAGTATCTCTCTTAGCTCATCACCTCCTGCTCTCCTCTACCCCTACCCCTTGTACTTCCCTTCAACCACACTGGCCTTGTGTCTTAACACATCAAGCACCCCTCCTTCTCAAGGCCTTTGCGGTGGCTATTCCCTCTGCCAGGTGTTCTTCCTGCAGCTATTTTTCACTTACCTCTTTTGTTCAAATGTTACCTTCCTGCAGACTTTTTCACTTACCTCCTTTGTTCAAATGTTATCATCTTGATGAGATCTGCCCTTATCACCTTTTTTAAAAATCGCACCTGACCACTACTGGTCCCCATATCCAATCTTATTATTCACCATAGCACCTATCACCTTCTAACAAATCATGTGATTTAACTTATTCATTATGTTTATTTTCTGTCTTCCTTCACTGGATTGTAAGATCGATGAAAGCTCTCAGTATTTGCTGAATGAGTATTTCTTAGGTACTCACTCTTTATCCCAGGACAGGGCAGATCCCGTAAGGAAAAGCTTGACATGGCCATTCAGTTTGGTGGCTGGTGATTGGAAGTCCTCAGGATGAGTTTCCTTTTACATTCTAACATTGTTCAGCCTTTCTGACGGTCTGATGTTTTTAGCACAGTTGAACACTTTAAATAAGAGCCACAACCATAAGGAGGACCTCTCCCCAGTATGACATTTAGAATCAGCTTTCTTATCAGATGCTTTCTGCTTGTAACATTGTTATTCTTCAGCATATTGGATAAATTGGCAAATGGTTCTTAGACATATGAAAAGATATTCAACTTTATGAATAGGAATAAATATTCAAATTAAAACTCACTGATGCCAGTTGTGATCTACTAGGTTAGCAGAAACCCAAATGTTTGATACTAGTACTGGTGAGAATATGGGGAAACAATCTCTTTCCTACATTGCTTACAGGAACGTGAACTGATTTCAGTCTCCATGGTGGGACTTGGGCAATATCTATGGATATGACAGATACACACACACATTTGATGCAACAGCCATTTTTTTTTTTTGGAAATTTATCCTATAGGAATACATGCCCATGTGAAGAATGGCATTTCTACAATGTTACTCAGGGCATTGCTTTGAATAACAAAAGACTGGAAACCACAAATGACCATCAGTAGAGAATTGCCTAAATAAATGTGGTTTATTTATTAAAGGATACCTCAAGTGAAAGCTCTCTGTACCTAGCAGATTCTTTTTACGTCAATACACTTGTATGGAAAAATCTCCAAGATACATTGTTACATGGGAAAAAGCAAGATGCAGAACAACGTATGTTCTCATTAGTGGAGAAAAATAATATGTATTTGCATTAGCTTGCAT